TAAAATAGAAAAAATAAATTTATTATTTTAATGGCACAAAAAATATTTAAAAACATTTCATTTTTATTGGTAGTAAATAAAAAAATCTTGGTTGATTAACTTGGTTATAGAGTAGTCTCATATACTATGAGCTGAGTTACACAAAAACGGAACTCAAGTTATGGAACGAACGGGATACGATAATTTTTAAAAAAGATAGGACATTTATTCGCTTAAAACACACTACATTAAATAAATAATATATTAATATTTTAAATAAATAAACAATTATTTATAATAAACATAAAGTAAAAAAACACTAAATTTCTTATTTCAATGATACAAAAGCAAATTAAAAAAAAAAACACTTCATTTTTATTGGTAATAAAAAAAATCTTAGTATGATACAAGCAAATTAAAAAAATAAAAAACACTTCATTTTTTATTGGTATTATAAGAAAATGATACAAAAGCAAATTAAAAAAAAAAACACTTCATTTTTATTGGTAATAAAAAAAATCTTAGTTGATTAGCTTGATATATAGATAGTTTCATATACCAGAAGTTAGGTTATACAAACACAAGACACGAGATACAAGAACGTATGAAATACGATAATTTTTTTTTTTAAGTAGGACATCCACTAGCTTAGGATACAGTACACTAAATAAGTAATACATTAATATTTCAAATAAATAAACAATCATTTATAATAAATTATAAACACAAAAAAAAATTCTTATTTCAATGCCGCAAAAACAAATTAAAAAAACACATCGTTTTTATTGGTAATAAAGAAAACCTCAGTTGATTAGCTTGGTATATGGAGTAATCTCATATATAGGAGCTATGTTACATAGAAACAGGATATGACAATTTTTAAAAAAGATATGGCATTCACACGTTTAGGACATAATACATTAAATAAGTAATGCATTAATATTTTAAATAAATAAATAATCATTTATAATAAATTATAAACATAAAATAAAATGTCCTTAATTTCTTATTTCAATTACACAAAAGCAAATTTAAAAAAAAATATAATAAATTATAAACATAAAATAAAATGTCCTTAATTTCTTATTTCAATTACACAAAAGCAAATTTAAAAAAAAAAACACTTCATTTTTATTAGTAATAAAAAAAAACTTTGGTTGATTAGTTTAGTGTAAGGAATGATCTCATATACCAGGAGATAAATTGCACGGATACGGGACACGAGATACGGGAATGCACGAATATAACAACTTTTAAAAAGTAGGATATCTATATGCTTAGAACATACTACACTAAATAAGTAATACATTATTATTTTAAATAAATAAATAATCATTTATAATAAATCATAAACATTAAATAAAAAAATAGGAGATCTACACGTTTCGTGTCAAAATGGGTCACGACAAGTGAACATGATTCGCCTAACACGTGAAATAAATGAGTTAGAGTTGAGGTTAAACAACTTTGTGTCATAAACCAGCCATCCATTTATAATACAAATATAAACGTATTGTATCGCTGGTTAACACAAGGGTTAGGTGAGTGACCCATTTATTTAAAAGTAAAGAGGTAATTTTAGTGTTAGATATAAACACTCGAACTAAAACCTATTTAAAATTTATTGTTGTATTGCTTTTTTATTTTAATTATGAATCTTGAAGAATTTATGCATTTTACGTGTGAAAATTTATTTTTAAATATGATTGAAGTTAAATAGGTAAAAAAAGTTTAAAATACTATAAGCAGGTTAAGTGGATCGTATATAGGTCAACACATTCATTTAATCTATTTATAATATTAAGCGGGTTACACGAGTTATATATGGGACAACACGATCCATTTAACCTATTTATGATATTAAGCGGGTTAAACGTGTCGTGTTCATGTCAACCGTTTAATTTTTATATTATATTTATGTCGAAGTTATTAAAAAATTATTTCATTTTTTAACATTACTTCGCGCATCGCGCGAATTCTAACACTAATTATAATTAAAAATAGAAAACTAGTTGTCCTGAAAAATATTTTTCCCAAAATAAGTTGTTTTTCATAAACAAAAGCTGCCTTAAATAAAAATTGTGTATAGACATTTTCCCTTTATTGTCTGCCAATGAAATTATTTATAATTTTGTAGAAATTAGAAAACAAAATATTTTGTTTAAGTAACACTTCACTGCTCCCAAGTCCCAATTCCCGCATTTGAATGGAAATTCCTAACATGAATCCCGAGACTTTCTTCGCATTCGTCGCCTTGTAATACTTTATATATAAATTTACTCTTAAATTTTATAATTCGGCCTTGTATATACTTTATATATAAATTTTACATTCTTAAATTTTATCAATATTTCAAAATTTTTACTTTGAAATTTTATTATTATAAAATTATATTATTAAAATATTTTAATTTTTAAAAGTTATTTTCTCCTTTAACACGTTTCTGAGTTTATAAAGTTATTATAAACGAATTAAATGCATACAGATAATTAAAAAAAATTAAAAAATTGAGTACACGAAGATGTATATCAAGACAAATAATTATAATTTTTATCATATAAATATTTAAAATCAGAAATATTTATTAGATTTATTATATAAAATATACTAGCTATACTAAAAATTTACATCCAAATTTAAGTGCAGTCAGAGTATCAAGCATGGAAAAGTGTTCTAAAGTTACAAATTTGAGGAGATTGAAATGTATGTATATATTATCGTGATTATTAAAGTGAAATTTTGGAATGGATTTTTCCTTAAGAACCATACAAAAATTATTTCTTAATATACATTTGACCTTAACATATTATTTTGTTTTGCAAAAGTGACACAAAGCACAATTCAATTACCTGTTATTTTATTTTACTCTTATTAGGATTAAATTTTAAGGTCTAAGAAACATTAAATTTTTTTATTTTAATTTTTAAAATTATTTTATTAAACGATTCTGTTTATAAAGTTATAACAATTAAATGCATATCAAATAATTAAAAAAAATAAAAATTATTACACAAATTATATCAAGAAATTTATATTTTACATATAAATATTTAAAATCAGAAAATATATTAATTTTATTATAAAATATACAGTAATACTAAAATTTATAAATTTAAGTGCACAGTGTATCAAAGATAAAAGTGTTAAAGTTACAATTTGAAGATTGAATGTATGTATATATTCTGATTATTAAAGAATTTGGAATGGATTTTTCCTATAGAACCATACAAAATTACTTATATACATTGAACATAACTATATTATTTTGTGCAAAAGTGACACAAAGCACAAATTCAATTACCTGTATATTTATTACTCAATTATGGATTAAATTTTAAGTCTAAGAAACATTAAATTTTTTAAAATTAACTTATTTGCCCCTCATTTTCTTCATTAATTTAGATTTTGCCTTCTCCATAAACAAAAGTTACGCAATTGATCCATATACTATTCAAATATTGATGTTATTAGCCTTAGTTTGTTCTACATTTATTATTAAAAAAGTTTTCAAAAATTCTCCCTAAACAATAGTGTTAATATATTTCCCCGTAAACAATCTTCATAGATAATTAAACAATTTATTTAATTAGTGTCAAACTATATGATTTAATTAATATCGAATACGTACCGATCAATGAAAAAAAAATCATCGTACTCTTTCTGTCACAAAAAGATAATTCATTTTTCCTTTTTGATTTGTTTCAAAATATAATCCATTTTCCTTTTTTACAATATAATTAATCTTTAATTTGTCTATTATGCTATTAAATTTTATCTTATTTTCAATAACTCTCATTGATCCTTATTTATTATTTTAATATAATAATTGCTCACGTGTTATTTAAAATAGAAATGACTACAATTCGGTTTCAAACTGGAATCGAACCAAAATCAAATCAGTGGCACTAAACCGTGGTCAACTGTTATGGTTCTAAAACCATAACTGAAACCGTGAACTTAAGATTCAATTTTGGTTCTCCATTTTAGGAAACCGAAATTAGCGATTTTGGTTTAAAACCGGCAATTTCGATTTGAAAGCGTGAAAAACATATTCTTAAAAAACTCCCAACATATTTTTTTGTTTTATTACAGTTTTTTAAAGTAGTTTTTAAGAATTTCTATTAAATTGATTTAGTTTTTTTAACAGTATTATTATTATTATTATTTATTTAAACTATAAATATTAAAAAAATTTTAAAAATATATTATTTAATATCAATTTAAAATCGGCGATTTTAAAGTCGTTTTAAAAATCATCTAAAAGCGACTCAATTTCTATTCCATTTTTTTTATAACCGGAACCATGGTCATGCTGATTTAAGATGATATAATAAAAAATATATATATAAATAAAATTATCATTTAACCATAATAATTGTTATATTTTAATTTGTGTGAAAATAAAATGTGCATTATCTTTTAAAGAGGAAGAGAATATTGAATTATTAGTGATTTGAGAATTTAAATAAACTATATTTATTTATAACGATTTGATTCAGTTTTGACGGTTTTCACTTTAACAGTATATTTAGCTGTTTGATTAAAGATAATTAATTATTCCTTTAATTTTCATATAAAAACTTTTTTAAATAATATATATTGTAACCTAGGGTTCTATTTCTATCAAAAATTTTACTTTTTACCCCACTGGAAGCGTAAAAAATCTCTATATCTATAGATAAAGAATAGGGGCGCGTGGAGAAAGGAAGTTGTAGATTTTTAAAAAGGACAAGTGGCGAACCAATCCAACCTACAAATTTCATAGCACGACACGTGTCTTATTTAATTAATAATATATAGAAACAGCCTACTTCCATCAGACAGCCCTTTTCGCTTACAACCAAGGAGTTGGTGAAGCTGCTTTGGCGTCTCCTTGGAATCTGCTACTTCACAATTCCACGTGGCCCGTCTCTCTTCCTTCATGTCTTCCACGTGTCACTTCTCTGCTTCTGATTCAACTTTCAAGGGCTCTTTCGTCATTTCCTTCCATCCTAATAACATCATCTGAAATCTAACGTGTATCTCTCTCTGCTTTTGTTTCTCATTTTCTTTCTAAAATTTCTCTCAAGCTTCTCCTTCAAACCTTTCATTTTTGTCTGCCGGAGAACCTTGGGTTGGAAAGTAGAAAGCTTTTTGGTCTCTGTAGCGACAATATGAGTTTTCAATGGAGAAAATGGAAATTTCGAGTTTAGTTTTATTGTTTTTCTTTTGGAATTCAAACTTCTCGTTTGCATATGCTGTGATTTCACTTCGAAATCAAATTTCCTCTTCTGGTTAATCTTGAACTCTTATCAATAGGCTTTTTTTTTCTTTTTCTTTTTTTCTTTTTTGCTGTTTTTGCTTAAAAGTTCCTTGTTTAATCGAATGGTGCAAGAAGACAAACATCTGAAGACACAAACCCAACAACAAAAGCAACAACATCAGCAAATATCGATGAGCAATACTTTTGCTAAAGATTTGTTGCAAAGATTAATGTCAGGGAATCATTTGAATCACAAAATCAATGGAGTAGAAGAAAGAGAAGAAGAAGATATAGAGCTGAGCCTTGGACTTTCTTTGAATGGCAGATTTGGTGTGGACCCAAGAGCCAAAAAGCTTACTAGATCATCTTCAATACCAGATTTCGTTTACCCTACAGGGGAAAATGGCAGTGCGTATATGATACCTGTAGTTAGTAGTACTAATCTTGTGAGGACTTGTTCTTTGCCTACAGAGACAGATAAGGAGTGGAGGAAAAGGAAGGAGATGCAGATGCTTAGGAGAATGGAGGCTAAAAGGAAAAGGTCAGAGAAACAAAGGATTTTGAAAGCAGTAAAAGATAGAAATAAGGGTTTTGTAGAAGAAAGCTGTGAGGAAGAGAAAAGAGAAAATGGCACTATTAATACTAACTGTAATTATCATCAAGAACAGTTTCTTAAGAATTTCAATGTGTTGTTTGGAGCTGGTGCAGAAGGGGCTTTACCATCATCACAAGGGTCGATTGGATCACAGGGGAGTGGGTCATCTGGGTCAGAATCTGAGAGCCAGCAAGTTCAAGGTAACATTTTTATTTCTTTTTTATGGTTATAAATCTTTTACGGTATTTATGGTGCAAGTTAGTTCCTTTTTGGTTTTTTGTTGACTGACTTAGTATTTAAATTTTGATTCAAATGCTGTTTTCATGCTCATTTGAAGCTTGATTGATCTTATTGTCACTGTTGTGTTGTTTTGATGTTGGTTGTTTGAACAAGCTTTTTATTTTTTCGGATTATGCTTCTTTTTATTCCATTGGGCTTGATGAGTAGATTCATGACAGAAATTGGGAGTCTTTAGTTTTTCGCTGTGTTTTTAAATTATGTTTTAATTAGACTACGGCTGAAAACATCAATGACTCCTTTCAAGAATTTGGTTTGGGCATAAATGAGAATATAAAAGCTAGATATAATAATTCATTATTATGTTTCATTCTATTTGTGTCTTATTTAAAGATAAAACATTTGAATAAATGAGGAACTTCATTTTTTTGGATGGTATGTTTGAAATGCTTTACGAATTTAGTCTTGCCATTGGTTTTTTGTATATTGCGTTTCTGTGACATTTATAGATAGACGAGTTTAATCTGCCTATAATCCTAGGATCAAAATGGAAAATGAATACTACTTGGAATTTTGAATTTTGTACTTCTTGGTAGTAGACTTCTAACATCCTCCCTTTCTTTCCCTTATGAGGGGAAAATCTTTAGGTCAGGGAAATGTAATGATGGAAGGCAAATGATCAATGTAGCATTTAACCGGAGATTGTCTATCTTATCTCTTTATGTGGGGGATTGAAAGCAGAATATTGCATGGCAGTTAAGGAACTTGAATTACACTTAAATGGCTTCTAAAATAGGAAGATAAATTCTGCTTGGTCCATAAAACTTGGTATTTAATTTCAATTGTATATGATGCTTCTCCAAACTGATGTCTGACAAATTGCATATTAAGAAGAGAGATGAGCCAAATCTATGGAAACTTTTCCAATATTTCAAATGGCTTTTATATCATAAAACAATTAAAAATTTTATTTACAACTTTTAACTTTGCAATTTTCTTTTTGTGTGTGTGTTTGTGAGATTTTTTGCATGTGTGCATTGAATGTATTTCTGATAACCAATCATTTAAAAGGAAACATACCCTTTGTTCTACTCGAATTCTTGATCATATGGGTATCTTATAGTTCCCTGATTCTGTAATACTTTTGGTTTAAAACTCAACAGTAATTTAGGATCTAGCCCAGCTTGCAGCACTTGATGCCCTTTATCAGTAGCAATCAGCATACCTTTAATCCAAAGCCAAATGAATGCTCTTTTTCTGGCTGTCCATGGATTTATTTTTTGAAAATCTTCCTTCAGCTTTAGACAAACAATGTATCCCGTGTATAACTATAAACTATCAAGCTTTATAGAAGAAAACATGCATGTACTTCTAAAGGTGATAATCTATATGCATACCTTGGAAGGGGTAACACAATTGGAGATAATTGCCTATTGAATGTTCATGATATCGATATGTGACATCAACCCTATTGATATATGATTGCTTATTAAGTTTATCATCCAGTATTGTCTATCTTATATCAATGCGAAGAGCAAACACCTCTGTATAACAAGCGATTAATCAGATTAGTTTGTCTGACGTCTTATTTCTTTATTCATTTGTTGCAATGTAGGAATGAACAACTGTATTGAGGCAAGAAGCCGTGTAAGTGTTCAATCTTTATCAGAGCGTGCACGGAAATTGACGGTCACCCCTAAATCAACAATCAATGGGAAACCTAGCAGTCCTGCAGATGTTGCAATGGTAATTAGCAGATCGAATGAACCAACAGTCATAAATGGAGCTAAGGACACGGTGAGGAATATATTGGAAGACATGCCTTGTGTGTCTACGAAAGGGGAAGGTCCCAATGGAAAAAGAATAGAAGGTTTTCTTTACCGGTATAGAAAAGGTGAGGAGGTGAGAATAGTGTGTGTCTGCCATGGAAGCTTTCTCTCTCCGGCTGAATTTGTCAAGCATGCTGGTGGGGGTGATGTAGCTCACCCCCTTAAGCATATAGTTGTTAGCCCTTATCCTCTTTTGTAATCTTAATTTTCGTGCTGAGTTTTTTAATCAAAGACTTGAGGTACAGAACAAGTCCAAAAAGTTACTAGAGTTAAACTTTGTTTAACAATTTCAGTTTTCTTCTGTGAAATTGAATTAGGAAATTAACTGTATGTGATGTAGTGCCGGTTGTTGCAAAGTTTGGTGATGGAACATATTTTAACAACTTGGTTCCTTCACCAATAACAAAACTAGTCTAAATAAATTATAATTTTCACCGTCAGAACTGAAATTATTTCTAAAAGAATCATTTCAGCCGTGTTAGAGTGAGGATGATCTTGCTAAACTAGGAGATTACAGAGTTGGTGTTTCAGCTTTGTAATTACTTTAACATATTAATCAACAGTCTTACTAACATATAATTTAGAACCTTCTGACCTCACGAGTCGCAACACTTTCCTTTCATTGGACTCTGCATTTGAACTGCAAGCAACACTCCCAACATTTAATATTCAAAGGTTAACAAATAAAATATGCCGTGATTCAACATACGCTGACAAATAAAATTTTCAGAAAACATCTGCTCTATGGTTTTATTAAACAAATGGAACTGAGATGCGTATACAGAGTGGGATAATTAACAACTGCATTCTTCTGCAGATTCATCAGCGAGCCCCCTATCAGGGAAACAGCATCGAAAAATGGGGGCAAGAACTATATTACAATTTACAAGTGGGAATAACTACAGTTGATCTCTACCTAAGGGCAGCCCAATGAGGACTGAGAGAGCATGAATTACAATGGGGTTTTTACCTTCTACAAATTTACTATGTTAATCAAATACAAAGCTTATCAAACGACTAGCATGAGGGCGGTTGCAGTTGTTTTAGTCGTCGCACAACTTGTTTCATTGTAGGCCTTGTAGAGAGTGAGTCAACTGTACATACAACTGCCAGGTGCAAGACTTCAACCAAATCATCATGAGGACCTGCATCCCATAGCCCAGCAGTAAAGAACTCCTTTGCCCGGCCCTGCCTAAGGAGCATACATGCCCAAGCGACAATATTGAAACCATTCCCGTATGATGAGAAAGATGGATCCAAAGCTTTCTTATCAGAGAGCAACTCTAGAAGCACAACCCCATAACTGTAGACATCAGCCTTATCTGAAACACGACAAGTCATTGCATATTCTGGAGCAACATAACCAAAAGTTCCAGCTACCCCAGTAGTGGCATGGGTTTCAGAAGTTCCCAAAAGCCTGGCCAAACCAAAGTCAGATAAATAGGCATTGAAATCATCATCTAGAAGGATATTGCTGGGTTTGACATCTCGATGAAGCACGCGTGGTACACACTGATCATGCAGGTAGGCAAGTGCACGAGCTATGTCCAAAGCAATCTTGTGAAGTATCCTCCAATCCACTGCCCTGGTGGACCTTTCCTGAATAAACTTTTCCAAATTACCACCAGGTAAATAATTATATATGAGGAACATCTCTGTTTCACTGGCATGATAACCAATCAACGTGACAAGATTTGGATGGTGAAGCCTTCCAAGGGTCTTAATTTCAGCATGAAACTGCTGAACACCCTGAAATCGTCCAACAGCAAGTCGTTTAATGGCCACTAAGACTCCAGGAGATATCTCTGCCTTGTAAGTAGCACCAAACCCTCCATTGCCAATGCAGTTGCTTGCATTAAAACTCCCAGTGGCCCGCACAACATTCTCAAATGTCAAGGGAACCCCAATATCTGTAAAAATGGTTACTTCCTTTTTGCTGGACCCTATGATTTTGGAATTCGGACTCCCTCTTCTGGTGTAGAGGAATAAGGCAATCAGAGCTAGAAGAACTGAAACAATAGCAGATGCAGATGCTATTGATGCTATCTCAATTGAATTGAAACCATTGTTGCCACTCTTTTGGCTCTGGGTCATTGGTGAAGCAGCATAGCCTTGTGTTCCAGTAGCACTTCCTGGATCTGGAGTTGGCACTGTTAGGGAGAAAACATGGCAAGGGCGTAGGTAAGGGTTTCCAAGAACACTACTACATTTCATCAAATTGTTACTCAAAGGCAGTGGCCCAGATAAGTTATTGAAGGACACATTGAATGCCGAGAGCATAGTCACATTTGCCAAACTAGATGGAATCTGCCCAGAAAGTTTATTATCATTGAGTAGGAGAGCAGTCAGGTTTCTCAAGTTCACAAGATTGTTTGGAATCTCTCCAGAGAGCATGTTTGAAGAAAGATCCAGCACTTCTAAAGACCTTAACTCACCCAAGCTATACGGGATAGAACCATTTATTTTGTTGCCAGCCAAGGAAAGATACTTGAGGTCTTTTATTTGACCAAGACTGGTAGGAATCTGACCTTGCAAAAGGTTCCACCTAAGGTTAAGAGAGATCAGCGACACCAATTCACCAACACTAGGGGGAATGAAACCAATAATCTCATTGCTAGATGCATCCAGAAGTTTAAGTGATCTGCACATTGTACCAATATCAGCTGGAAGCTGGCCTGAAATTTTATTGTTGCTAACATTAAGAATCAACTTGTTCAATCCATCACACTTCTCAAACAAAATTTCTGGGAATGGCCCAGTCAGCTTGTTTTCTCCAGCTAAAAACGCATAAGCAGTTTGCTTTCCTAACCTCATAGGTGCAATTGGCATAGATTGGAGGTTACCAGTAAAATTATTGCCCCCAAAGTTATGAAAGACTGCAATTTCACCATCTTCCCTGAAAAGCTGTACAGGACTTCCAGACATAGCTTTGTTGGCAAAAAATGATATATAGGCAGATGATGGAACATTGATGCTGGAGGGATATCCATTTGCCGAAGGAACTGATTTGCAATTGCCACTGTAGAAATTTGGGATTGAACCACTTAAGGAATTTCCACTAACATCAAACACAGTCATACAAGGAACTGGAAGCTCCTCAACAAGCTCCCCTTTGAGCTGATTATAACTCAAGTCAAGATACCATAGGTTACTGCAGCTACTTAACTCACGAGGAGTTTCCCCAGAGAAAAAGTTTTGGGCCAAATTGATCATCTCCAATTTCTCACAAGCACCCCAGTCACTTTGCAAGCTGCCCTCCAGAGTTGCACTTGGTGCCCACAACATCCTCAGGTTCGGAAGAGACATAATTTCCTTGGGTATACCCCCCTGAAAAAAATTAAAATCTTCATTTGCAGAACTCAGTTGATCCAACAAATAATCCCCTCTCGAACTGTTAACATCCTTATATGGATCAAACAAATTTGAAAGCACAAGCACAGACAAAACAGAGCAATTTCCCAGTTCAGGAGGTATCGGTCCACTAAGACTATTTCTAGACACATCCAACACTTCAAGCTTTCCAAGCCTACCAAGTTGAGATGGAATAACTTCTTCAAACAAATTTGAGTACAACAACAATGTCTTCAAATTACCACAATTCCCTAGACTACTAGGAATTCCTCCAACAAAGAAATTACCTGACAAGTCCAAGTGCTCAAGTTTTTCACAACTGTTCCCAATTTCATTAGGCACTGCCCCACCAAGCTGATTGAGTGACAAATACACACCCCTAAATCCACCAACAAACGCAGGTACCGTACCATTAATGCGGTTACCAGATAAATTTAAGATCTCTAAATTTCTACGATGGGAAATCCAATCGGGTATTTCTCCTCCTATCTTGTTAAACCCTAAATTTAGAACCCGCAAGTTCCTTAACCTGGCAAAGGAAATCGGTAGTGACCCAGATATCGAATTGCCTTCCAGATCAAGAACTTCTAACTTCTCCATTCCCCATATTTCACTAGGTATCTCCCCACGAAACCTATTAAAAGGCAATGATAGGACCCGCAATTCGGTTAACTTGGCAAAAACAGCTATCAATTTCCCCACCAAAACACCATAACCACCCCTGCAGTCTCTCCTAATTCCAAATCCATAGAGCGGGTACTGAACAGAACCAGAGCAAAAGAAAGGGCTTCCATTTTCACTGTTCTGACCTCTGTAGTTGCTGCTGCTGCTGCTGCTGTGCCCAGTGATGTTTATGGACACTACAAGAGAGTTGTTGTCGCAAGACACGCCAGCCCAAAAGCAGTGGTTGGAGTTGATCAGGTTCCAGCTTGAGAGCAGCCCCGACGAGTCAGACACCGAATTCTTAAACTGCAACAACACCGATTTGTCCGAATCACCCGAAACTAAAACGTTCAGTGAGAAAGATAGTACCCAAAAGACAAATAACAGCCTCAAGTTGTAAAAAGAATGCCATTTGATAACCGAAGAAGAAAAACAAGAAGAACCCATTTTAGAACCCCCAAAAGGGTCTCCAAAAACCATTACAGACTAAACAGTAAACCCTTACTCTCTCACTAGTTGCAGAGTAAAGAAAGGGCCTTTCTTTTCTGGAAACCCTAACCCTAATTTTGGTGAGCAAGAAATGAAGAGAGAGAGAGAGAGAGAGAGAGAGAGAGGATTCAACAGTGTAACCAGTTGAGGAAAACGCGTTTTTTCCTTCTTTTCTTTTTCTTTCTTTCTTTTTTTCCTTTTTTTCATTTCCTTCTTCAGTTCTCCTTAATTCCTTTTCTTTACCTTTTTTTCCCAAGCCTTTTCCCTTTTCAAAAAAAATTATACTACAAAATATAAAATATTTGGGGCAGTGTCATTTCGGGCGGGGAGGTGGGGTCCACGAGACAGGAAGTAGGGTCCACTGGCGGTCAATAAATGCATCAGCCCCGTCAATTTCTAAGGGGTTCACGGTGGTTGGGCTTTAAGCAGTGGGATCTGTTTATAATATATAATATAAGAATAATAATTAGAAAATAAAAAAGATTCCTTAAAGTTGAAAACGTGGCTATGGATAAAGGAGTCCACGTGGGGTGTCCTTCCAGAAGGGAAGTAAAGGGATAACCTGCATTTTCTTTTTTTCAAAAAAAAATAATAATAATTAATGGTTTTTATTTTAAGTCTCTGTCTGTCTCTATGAGGTCCAGATAATCCAGGGCCCCCATCCCTTCAGATGTTTAAAATGTCAAGGACCGATGGGTTTTAAAATAACTGTCCTATCCGTGAAGAAGACTGCTATTGATTTTGGAATTAAAACTTTTCGTAATTTTGAAAATTACATGCCACTAAATTAAAATTCAATGGGAATGTCACAATTACCTTATTCTAAGTATTTCATATTCAACTACAAATGAAAATTTTCAATTTCACCCGTAAAAATAGCCTCTGATAAGCTTTTTCTTAGTTAATTTGGTTTGATTTGAAATAACTAAATTTATTATGGTGATTTTTAAAATTTTTAAACTGAATTTAACCATGAAAGGTATTTAAACTGATCAAATTTATAAATGCAATTTGATTTGGCCAATGGTTTCGTTGCACCGGTAGTTATGAGATTCATGAATTTTCAAAATCCACTCAAATTAATCGAAAATTACAGTTTTAAAATTGGTGATTGATTTGATTTGTAAAATTTTAAAATCCAACTACTTGATTTGAATCACAATTTGGAAGTCAAAATCATTCAAATCAAACCAAATTATTAGATATACATCATATACAGATTGTACAGTGGCTAGGCCATAGTTTTGTATAATTTTGAATAATAAATATAGAAACAAATCAATATCTGAATTCTATATTAATAAATTGTTTATTTATCAATCTAATAAATAATTAAAATGTAAAAATTAATGTAAAATAGAATTAAATAACTTTATTTTTCAACTTGAGGCAAAAAGTGGGTGAAAATTAAAATTTTTTTAATATATAAAGCAATTTCTGTAGGACATATATATTTCCCTGGCCAAAATTAAAGCAATTTTTTTCATAAATAAAGCAATTTTTATTTCGATTTTCTTCCGTTCACTTGGAAATTTCAACGGATCCACATAAGACAGTGAGTTACATAATAAGAGTATTTCTCTCTTTAGCTCGTTAAATTGGTGAAAATTTTTATGGTTGAAAAGATTCAAACTCGAGACATCCCACACTCTTCAAGAAAATCAATAAAACCAGATTCTATTCACAAACTATATCAATTTTTTTGAAATCATGATTTTGGTTGGATCTGTATCAATTTGATGGTCTGTACAATTTACAACAATTCATCAACACTTTTAACACCTTAGTAAGAAAAGGGTATCAAAGTAAATAATAAGCATTTGACATCACGTTATCACCGTTGTTGAAACGACTTTACCTGAATACCATTATAAATATAAAAATGCTTGTGTAAAAAAAAAAAAAAACACAATATATTGCAGAGCAAATATTAGTACATGTTACGAGCTAATTACATGATTTAATTATTAATTAGTAAATAGATACACTAACACACGAAATCCACATTTCTTGGTTATGCTCCTAATCTTGATATAATCTTTTGCTGATAAATTACGATATATTAGATGGAAGGATGACGTTGGGATGATGAACAAGTGACGTTATCGCATAACTTACTGTAGTTAAATATATTTATTATTAGTATGATTATGATTAAGGTCTAATTAAGGTTGCCCTTTTAATATTTAATAACAATATTAATTTGTCTTTATTTAAACAAGAATCTACTTAATCATTTAGTGTGAAGGGAATGCTATGCTGTATGTATAGTCTACATATAATCTTGGTGATGCATGTGAATGGGAATTTCTGACTTATCCCTTTCACCAACATTATCTTCAATTCATTATGTTTCTGGACCAATTCTACTTTTTTTTTTTTTTTTAATTTATAAACAAACCATTACTTGTTTGTTTTAATGTTACTTTTTTTTTTTTTTTTAATATATAAACATATTACTTGTTGTTTTAATGTAATTTATTGACTGACAGTGAACCTTTTTTTAGAAAACAAAATATGTATTTTTTTAGAAAAGAAATCTATGAATTTTTGTAATTCCTTATTTATTGAAATTAATATTTTATCCGGTAAAGATTCATAAATTTTTAGATTCGAATCCGGCTTTGCATATGGTTTTCTAAGATATATTAAATCATATGTTGAATGAAGATTAAAAGATTTTGTAACACGCTTTACGAATTTCATTAACTTCTGAACTGAATAAAGAAAATAGAAACAAAAGAAATTAAAATTTTAAGACATTTTAGTATGTCTAATTAGTTAATTAGGTTAATGAGCCAACAAATTAGCAGAAAACACACATCATTAGCACAATACTTAACAACTTAGCAATATCACTTTGTTAGAAACATTAGCAACTGTAGTATAACTAGGGGTGACCAAAATCCGGTTTTCGGAACCAGAACTATCGGTTCCGAACCGGTGGGAATCGGTCCAAACCGGTCCGGTTCCGGTTCCACCAGTTTTGAAACCTTGAACCGGCGGTTCCAACTCCAGTCGGAACCGACGGTTCTAGTTCCATCTGAAACCGGCTGGAACCATATAAAACCGACCAGAATCAGTCTGAAACCAGCCGGAACCGTCGATTTTGAAACCATTGAAGAATCGAAACCGAAATCAGAATCATTCGGTTTCAAACCGTAACTAAAACCGTTAATTTTCGATTCAATTCCGGTTCAAATTTTTTAGAACCGGACGGCGGTTCCGAACGGTGGCCACCCGTATGTATTACGTTGTGAGCTATAAAAAGCAAATAGATGGAAACACTATAGTGTTTGTTAAACGAAAGTGAAACACATTTTCCATATTTCAGGTCTTATAAGTAGTTAATTGGTAAGACAAATTCCTGATATATTTTTATAATTAAATGAAAACAATGATTAGAGACAGAAAGATGATTTTCTTACCTTGATTATATCCACCGATAATAATTGTTGTCTCTTCAATAGTTCAATATTTCATTTTATTTATACTTCAAAAAATACTGATTTTTTTGAAAGAATAGCTTTAATTCTGTAAATTGATTGAATTTTCAGATGAATTTTAAAATAATGATCTCCAATTAAAATAATGATAATGAGAACTAACTAAATGGGTAACCCAGTGCTCCAAGCACCACGTGTGTGGGCTGTAGAAAGGGCCTATGTACGCAGATGAACTAACTACAATAAAGAAAAAAAAAAAAAAATCTCTAGAATTGTTCTTTGTATCCAAAATCTGCCAGTTAATCTACCACAAGAATCAAATTTCTGAATATCAGATAGATCTTTGTACACGATCCTTCCATCCAAATTCCTTTTTTTTTTTTTTTTTTTTTTTTTTTTTTTTATAACCCAGGAATATTTTTATCCCTCGAACAGTTAAAGCGTTAAAATTTTTGCCTTATAGCAAAATGCGCTTTGTTAGATCCAGACTTGTAGTTTAATCACCTTATTTGTTGAACCGACATGGCATGCTTGTTGAACACTGGAACATTATAGAATTCAAGGAAGACAAAAGATTGCCCAGAAAATATATCTATAAATAGACAACATTTTTTTTTTTTTTTTTTTTTATAACCAGGATATTTTTATCCCTCGAACAGTAAAGCGTAAAGATTTTTGCTCTTATAGCAAAATGCGCTTTTTAGATCCAACTTGTGTTATCACCTTATTGTTGAACCGCTGCATGTCTGTTGAAATGGACTATTATAGAATTCAAGGAAGACAAAGATGCCCAAGAAAATATTCTATAAATAGACAACAAGCATCCATAAGTCTGCAATTAGAAAAGACTCGTTAAAACTAAACAAGTCTCATATCTAGATTCAATCCTGCAGACGAAGGCAAGCATTTCAATTTTCTGTATTCGATTTTTTCACCAAGTGATCAATTTGATAAATCTAAACAGTAACAATCCAAAATGCTCTATCAGCAACCCAAAGAACAGCAAGAAAAGCAAGAAAACCAACTGTTCCCTGCAGGCTTTGGCGGTGTTCCAGGCGCTTGCGGCTGCGCCTCCTCCTGCTGCTGCTGTTGCCGCTGCTGTGAGGGCTGCTTGTCCATTACCACTTTAACAGAAGCACTTCCTCCTACATTTGCTTCCAATCTGAAAATAAAGTAGCAATTGTCCATCAATTATAGTTTCAGGAACATATTCCATAAATAAAACGAAATACTTTGCACATAACATAGCAAAAGCTTCAAAGGAACTCATATGGTAACTTACACTGGGAATTGAAAAGACTGCGTACTGCTCGATGAATTTCGAACATCTTCTGCAGAAGGAGCTTTTTTTTTACTAGTCCCTGAAACTTCCTTTCCTGGTAATTGGGTTTCCGTTTTTGCAGGTTCAGTTAATTTTTCTTCTGTCATTTTTAAGTCTCCACTCTTTCTTGTTTCCATAACAGGAAACATGTTAGGCGGGGAATTATTCATTTCGTCGGGTTTCGGTAGTTCGCCAGATTTGTATAGCATATAAACATGATCTCTTGTAAAACTATTATTCCCCATATGAATACTAAACAATGATTCATTTGAAGCCAGACTCCATTCCATAGGCGACGCAGGCTTACCGGTGAAAATGGCTGATGGAATCCGATTTGGATCATACCCACCAGCAGATTGCGCTGTTGTTGATGATTCTTGTACGCTCATTTTTGGATTATTATTATCAGAAACTTCTAATGCCCCTTTGGATTCAACAAGGGGATCACCAGACACAGAATCTAAAAATAATTCTGAAGGACAAGTGCCTAAATTTTTTTGTTGAGCAACGATTTCGTCACTTTTAGTTCCTTCTGAATTTGTTGTATTGTTCTTTGTGACAACCCCATTTTCGTTATCCATAACGCCAATTATAATCTGATTGTTTCCTTTAAAAACCTGTACATGCAAATCTGCAATGCACAGAAGCAATACTATTTAATATCAGATTTAGAAAATCCCAAGGCCCTAATGTGATTGGTATATAAATTCTAAAGAAAATACATGAAAGAAATGTAATTGACATAAGAATTATCGTAACATATAACTTACATTAATTCATCAAAATGTGATTTGATAACCCAAAATCGATCGAAAAGCCTGTCCAAAGATTGGAACCAGAATCAAACAAGGAGAAATTAAACACAAAGGTTCCTTTCTTTTTTTATCTTTTTTCTTGTTGAAGGAGAAGATAAACACAGAATTGAACACCCAGAAGAAACAAATAAGAAAAAAAAGAAACAAATATAAAAGTCAGTATATGCAAGAATTTGAAGAATGATGGAAACAAGGAAGAAAGAAGTAGCTAGGGCAAGGAAAATTGAGGGACAACTAGGGTTTACATGTGATAAAGGTAAGAAGTGGAAGGCCAAGAGAAAATATCGGTATTGGTGTAACGCAGTTGTAACTAAGTTGGTGCCAATTTTAACTTGGAAACTGCCTACGCAGGAAAAGATGAGTCTAATAACGTCTTACTTGTTCCAACATAGCTTAACGGATTTGACCATGATAGCTTTTATCCTTAGTCAAATTTAGCATTTCTACAATCTTCTTTGGGATTTCTTGCCATCTAAATTGCCTAAAATCTACGATTTTCTCCCTTGTTAATACATGCAAATAATATAATCTCCAAGTCTAGATTATCTGTCCTCAAATTCAGCTGCCTTAAGAGATGATATGTTGGTTTTTGGCCTGCTTTTGGTCGATATTAATCTTTTTTTTTCTATTTGTAACAATAACAAAGTATTCTCTAGCAACGTAACTTTTAAATACAACCTATTTTCACTATGTACATCGTGGGTTCAGGTTATAAATAGGTTGATTCATTTTTATTAAACTACTAAGAGTGGTGAATTTATAATATAAAATAATTTTATCCTTAGAATTATATGTTCTTATAGGTTGTTTATATTAAACATATGAATGTTTTTAAATTAATTAAATATTTTAAATTTATTTCAATCAATATATATACTTAAGAAACATGTCCAATTTAAATGGAAATTGTTTAATAAACATGTCCAATTTAAGGTTTGAAAATTTTTATACGATTGATTAAGAAATCAATTGAAATTAGCCATAGTTATTTTTATCTTGCACTAATACTCTGGAGTGATATGCAACTGGGAAATTAAAAGATTAAAGGGAGGGGGCAAAAAGAAATATTCACATATAAGAAGGGTATTTAAATGAATATGTGAAAAGTAATAGGATAAGGTATATAAGAAAGTAGAGGTTCAGTTTAAGGTCTTATCTCCACAACCTCCATTAGCACATGTGCTCTAACTATTAACTATTTGGACTGTTTCTAACACAGGAAAAAGAAATGAGAGCAAATGCAAGTGCTGCTTCAATGGCAGGAACCTTAGAGAAGCGGCTACTAGTTATGAGTTTTAATTGTAAGCTCTCTCTACTCTTTTTTCCCTCTAAGCTGCAGATTAGAAATTATGGTGAAAATATAGAAATAATGGAGTTGGGTTTTGTAGAATATTTGAGGTTTTTTGTTACTTCTGTTCTGTTCATTTTGTTGGAACATCAACATTGAGAGAAACTGAAAACTAAAATATAATGAAATTAACAAAACAATCAGACTAATCAAACAACTAATTAACATAATCAAAAAAGTTGTTTCAAATTACTAACAGTTTCCTCTATATATCCAAATATTTTTTGCAGGTAAAGATATACAGAAACAAAAAACATATCAACCATTTCTGAGAGCAAGTTCAGTTGGCAATGATGAGAAATTTTGTTCTGTTCAACTCAAACATTCTCATAACTCAATAAGCCTGCGCGGCGATTCATTAAGGGTAAATATTCCTTCCATAAAGATCTTTATTTCTGGATATTAGTTAATTTCTCTGCAACATTTGTTTTCTGGAGCCAACTGATTTTTTTTTATGTTAAATTAATTACTGATATATATTTTTGGATCAGGTTTGTGCAATTAGAAGGAGAAGGGTTCATGAGAGGACAGAAACTTATGTACTATTAGAACCTGGACAAGATGAGAAGTTTGTGTCTGAAGAAGAGTTAAAAGTTAAGTTGAAGCATTATCTTGAGAACTGGCCAAAGAAGTCATTGCCACCAGATCTTGCAAGATTTGATACCATTGATGATGCAGTTTCTTTCTTGGTAAGTTCAGTTTGTGAACTTGAAATTGATGGAGATGTTGGCACTGTACAATGGTATGAAGTTCGTCTAGAGTGACAAAATTAATTAAGCTCCATATCTCATATTTAGTTAACTTAATATGAGTAGATAAAGCTTTAGACTGAGAAAAGTAAATTGTGAAATTCAATAATTATTCAATTAAAAAGTTGTACTGTTTTGATTATGAAACACAAATTGGATGGTACAATTTTGAGCGTGCTAATGAAAAATTGCTGAAAATACAAGCACAAGAATAGGATCGATTCCGATCTATGAATTAGTACATCCCATATATATAAATAATTGTAACAAATACAAACAATATATAGGATTACTTGCTTCAGACAAATTCATCAAGTTCAAGAATCCATCTGATTCTGCAGCTTTATCGACCAAAAATATGTTCACATCTCAATCTTGAAAGATACCACCTCCTCTTGAACCTGCCCCAGCAATTAGATAAGAGAAGCTATCAAGTATCAACACCTTGCATGTTTGATTTTGTTTTCAAAATGGAATAGGAACAGGAACAAATTTTCAAATTCAATTTTTCTACTGGGAGATGGAGATTTGAACTCGGATTTTTACTCAAGTCTTATGTACACTCACATCTATTATTAAAAATCATACCAAACTTCGATGTCAGTAAATTCTAATCATCTAAATATATATATGAAAAACTGATTCCAAGAAATCAAGAATTGCATTTTATTCCCATTTCATAATGCCAACCAAGGTACATACCTTAGTCTGATTCATACTAGGGGGCAAGAGTGAACCACCAACACCCTTTCTGTTTCTTGCAAGAATCCCTTTTGTGACAGGTGACACCATAAGATCAGTTGGGCTTCTATACCTAAAATGAATTAATTCCACAAAACAGAAGAATAAGAAAGACTGCAAAGATTATGATTAATTAAATAGCTTTGATGAACAAAAGAAGAAAAAAAAATCTATATTTGTCTATACCTCTCTGGGTACTTAAATGCTTTGGGAACTTTGAGAGGATCTGGAGTGCAATTTTTGCGCAAATCATTGCTCGAGTTTAAAGATTTAGAATCTTGAAGAGGTGGCGGTGTTTTGCAATCTTCAGATTTCATTGGCTCTTTTACTGGCGTTTCTTGCAGATTCTCCATTTTTGTATATAAATAAGGCAGAGGAAACCCAGAAAAGAAAATTGCAAAATTTGTGACAAACCCAACTCCTGTCAAGAATTAATGTGAAATGGATGCCTGAAAATTCTGAAGCAGGAATTACATGAATGATGGCTATGGTTAATGGAGATTGGTCTTTAAAGTAGAGGGTTTCCAACGGTACAATTTAGGGTTCCATTCAGCAGAGAAGAGAAGGACCGTTGAAATTCAAAAATTAGCCCAATTAGTAAGGTTGTAACGGTCAAATTTTATATTTTACCCTAAAAGACAAGATAATTGGTAGCCAAGCCAACCGAAATGGTGGGTCCAAATTTTGGCTTTGGGCCAGCAATCATTCAAGATTGAATTGCTCTAATGCTCACCTGCCACCTCCCTAATCTCTAATAATAATTATTATTATTAATCGTTTTTCATATTTTATTTATAACCCTTTTTTCTTTTTATTATTATTTTTTTAATTTGGAACCCCTTCAATGAGGGATGAAAGTGAGTAAGTTCTTGTTAATTGTAAATTACTCGTAACTAAACCTATTTAAAATTTGCTTTCAAAAAAAATTATTTAAAATTTTAATATCCGCACTCGTTTTAAATTCACCAAATATTTATTTTCAAATAATCATACTCAAATATATTAATAATTTTAACACTCTTACCCATCCAAACTATATTTAATTAATGGATTAGAACAAATTGAATTCTCAAAAAAAAAATTCACCATATTTCCATCACCAAATAGAATTTTGTTGACTACCTAATCTAAATTGAGTCAATATGAAAATAAAACTAGTGAAAATCATAGAAATATCAAAAATAAATTTCAAGTTCCTAATTCTTATTCCATTTATTTTATTAATTTTGTCATATATTTTTAGTTTGTTGATGCTTTAAAATATCATAGAAATAGATTAAGAATTATCTTGAACTTTTTTTTTTTTTTAAAATGGGTTTGGGGTACAAGCTAATATTCAATTTTTCAAATATGTTTATCTAAATAGATAGGTTTCGGACAGCCAGACGTTCAAAATCTTAATTGCAAACTTGTGACAGTAATAAATTTTAAATACTCGGACTTATTTCAGATTTGTTTAATTATTCTTTAGTTCCGTTAAATTTGATAATTTTTCACCTTGTTTTTATTCCATTAGGATGACATTTTGAGAATAATCAAAATAATATTAGTTTTTTTTTATTTCAATCTTTCTCTTATCTAAATATTTGCACTAAATTAGTATCAGTTAGATAAACAGAGATTAAAGGATAATGTAGTTAATTTACTTTTATTTTATTTTTTTAGAATCAGAATGATTTTATTTTTTTTAATTCTTGCAAAAAGTCAAAAATATTAAATTTAATGGAATACCCAAAAAAAAAAAAAATAATAATTTACCTGTTTTCATCCATATCAGGATCTTTTAACCACTAGAGCAAGGTTGATTGGCATTTTCTAATTTATTTTTTCTTTCCGCTGCACCTCGAAGCACCAGATCATATGAATCCATTAGTACCATTTATCGACGGAAAAAAAAAAAAAGCATTTCTTATCTTTAATTCAATTGATGAGGCTCGTCTATAATATTTCTAATATATATATATATAATATTTATATATAATATTACTGAAATATATGAAATCGTACTAACAATCCATAGATTTTGGAGATAGTCCCAAAGCAATTACGGTGACCCCAATCTCCTTGAACTAGAAGCAAAGGAGTCGGTTTTTGAGCTTTGACTAATGATCAAAGAATTGTATTTTTTTTTTTTTTTTTTTTTTTTTTTTAATTTATATATATATTACTGAAATATATGAAAATCTACTAACCAATCCATAGATTTTGGAGATAGTCCCAAAGCAATTACAGTGACCCCCAATCTCCGTGAACTAGAAGCAAAGGAGTCGGTTTTTGAGCTTTTGACTAATGCGATCAAAGAATTGGTTAAAAATTTTTTTTTTTTTTTTTTTTTTTTTGGTTTTTTTTTTTTTTTTTTTTTTTTTTTGGTGGGTTTGGCATATAAAAGTAAAGTTTACACGTGTGTGAATGTTAATCAGAGGAATCAATCATCATAAGATACCTAGATAATTTTTTTGTTTCTTGTCTTTAATTGCTGATTGAGATATTGATTCAATCATGCTAAAGAAACAGCTGAATCTTTTTTTGTTCTTTTTATTGAAAGTCAAATTGGTTGAAATAATATTACGGATTATATAATATGAATTATTCGTTATCTTGCTGAATTAATTGATAAAATCCGAAAATTTTCATTCTAAATAGTTTTGAAAGACGTGAGAATACTAATCAGACTATAAAAATAATAATTAAATCTTGGTATTATTGAAGCTATCTTTTCACAGCTTTCATTGATCTCAATTGTAATAATTGGATAGGAAACAAATAGCTTTGACTATATGTCGTAATTGATAAAAACATGTTGTACAGGATAAGAATAATAATACTTCAAAAATCCAAAAACTAATTAATGTAAACAATTATTTTTGGAGTTACGTACCGAGGTCTTAATTAGCTGGTATGATGTCAATCAAGTTAGGCATTAGATTAAAATCTTAGATTAAACATATTATGTGCCTTCAATCTAGATTTATATATATAGGATTTGTCTTCCAAAATTCATTTTCATTCTAAATTAAATGTATGAATTAATTTATTCTTAAAGAATCAAACTTTCCAAAAGACACCAAGAAAATGACCTTAAGCTTCGGACACACTTCCAAGTTTCAAAGCCTAATTATATATATATATATATATATATAGTGATATAATGGTTTTCTGTGTTGAGGACCGAAATGACCTGCTATGTGTCCTACCACTTAGCAGGGTGGGGTTTCTAATTAATTGCTTTGGTCTGACTATTGGCGGGTATATGATCCCAATCAAAGTTTGTCTATTCGTGCTGATCTTATCCTGTTATGAATTAATTCTTTCGGGCACAACTTCTTAGTAATTTCCAATTATGACAAATATAGATTCCCATATAGAATATTTACTGTAGAAATACATTTCCAATATTACTGTTACCCAAATTACGTTGGAAATTACATTTCATCAGTGTTACTTCAACTAGTAGTATCAGAATTAATTTGGATTGAAGAATCTCTACAACTCTTTCCATTGTTCTATGCTTTAAGCAATGCAAATCTTATCTCTCGAATGTCATCTATGCACGTGTTGTGCGTATCCATTGGCACACCTACTCATGCAAAATCGAATCTCTCTCCTCGCTCCCTACCAAAAGCAAGATGCTGTCGGGATCCAAGAGTTTCAGTTAAATTAGAGAAGTTATTCACTAATATCATTATTTGAAAGCTTTTAATCAAATGCAAGTGGGAAATTCAACTTTACATGGAAATTTTATTTAAATACTCATTATGCAGCGAAATATGTATACAATGTGATGTATCGGCTATACGCATATCAAAGTCTATTAAGAGCACCCCGTTAACAATATTCGTAGCCATAAATAGCAACATGTCAGATAAGGATCAGGTTTATATATTACAATAAAATGACTATAAGTAGGGGAGCATTCGGTTCGATTCTGACCAAATAGATTTATTGTCGATCGAAATCCGAGAAAAAATTTGTCTGAAAAGATGAACCAAACGTCTATCATATTAATTAGGTTATTTCAAAATCAAATAGTCTCTAAATCAATTCGGTTTCGAAATGCATAGTATATTGGAAAATTTTAAAATCATTCGATTTTATCATTTGGAACCTATCATAACCGCAAAACTAACAAATCAATCGAAATGAGTTGCATTCTTTCTGCTAACTCTATCCGGACCAAACACTGCTCACCCTAACTAGAAGTACAATAGATGAAGGTGATCACCCTTCCATTAAGGCTTAGGGAATGATTATTAGTTGTCTTTAAATGATGAAGTTTAAAATCATGTGGAGTCAAGTTAGGGCACTGCAAATTGCAATGCAAAGAACAAATGGCGTTGAAAGTTTGATTGGACAATGTTTAGAGGGCCAAATCGGTGCTTGGCACGTGCCAGAACGAGACGGAGTCGTTCATCAACTGTTTTCAATTCTACGCTTTCCAAGGAAACTGTTTCTGATTCTGAATCAATCTTTCTCTTGATTCTTGCAGTTGCAGAACCTAAAAGATTACTTCGTGAAGAGATTTTATTTTTTTTTATTTAAAAAGTAATTAATTCCAGATAATAATTTATCAGTATTTTAATTAATAGATCCATCTATTTATGAAAAAGATTAAAAGAAAAGAAATGGACTTTCCACGTACCCAACTCGAATTATGTTTTTATGAATTTCAAAACGAGCAATGTACCCATTTAATGATTGGGTCCAGTTCAAATTTTGGTGCACTTTTCTACTTAGCCCAACATTTTTAGAAATCATTGGGCATTTCCTCATGTTCTCCTTTAATTCCCCCCCGCCCCCCCCCCCTCCCCCCCCCCCCTTGTCACACTCAAAGTTTTTAATTAATAAAAAATATAATCGATTATATGACAGATATTTTATTTTAAAATATAAATCATTCTGATATTTTTAAAATAAATAAATAATTTTTTATATGTTATATCCTGCTCTATAGATACGGTAACTTATCTTTTTATAAATTATGCTTTGATTTGGATAAATAGGATAGTTTGATGGGAAGGTTATTCAAAGGTTCATTTCATTGGGGGAAGGTGTTGTTGTTTTTGTGGAAAAAAAAAAAACAGAAGGTGCCCAAAGGCTCCATTTACGATGAGCATTTCAAGATTGTGTGCGTGCACGGCATTTGAACTAATTGAGAGCGACTTTTCTCTTTCTTTATCTCTTCCCTCCCTCAATAACTGCAACTCCAACTCAGTGCGTGTAGTATTTTCAAAGTGGGGGCCTTTTCTGCTTCCAAGGTTTCCAACACTCCCCTGCTTTCATCTCGACTCTTACACTATTAAACTTTTATAATACCCATTATTTACTTTCTACTTCCTTACTACACCTTCCTGCTTCTACTACATCTACGTATTTATAATACGTTTATAACGTGCTCTTTTCATTTCCAATAATACTCCTATCGCATTTACGATTTTCAACGAAAGATCACGAGATGGAATATCTTCAATTAACCCACATTCTCCATTTTAATATGGAGGAGGGCATTTTTTGTCTTGCTGTTGTTTGGATAAAAGAA